TTGGGGCTTGGGAGTGCGTGGGGAACTTCGTTGGGGTGTTTTTCCATAGCTGGGTTGTTGGTTGGTTTTCTTTTCCTTTTAATGGTTAAGTAAATATATATATGGGGACCAATCGAGAGATACAACTGTGAAATCAGACACGCACGCGGGGGCAAGGGAGTCACAAGTTGCTACATAAAACTGCCACGTCTAATAGGATGTGCATGAGTTAAAGTACATCAATTAGAATGGGTGAGGGGAAAGGGGCAGCCGCCATCTTAAAGACAGTCCCGGGACGCCATACGCTCGGCCACATCAGCTCTCCCCGCAGGGCTCGAAGGGGTCATGGTGGTGAGTGCAGTCTTGAAAACAGTTTCCTGGTGCTTTGCACCTCGTGGCCGTGCCCGTGCCTGTCAGCCGTGGGAAAGCACAGCCACCATCTTGCAAAACAGTCTTGCGGTGCTTTGCACCCCAATGGCTGGGACTGGTCCCTCTGCAGGCAGGAGCGGCCGCTTTTGCAGGGGTCCCGTAATGCTTTATTTGCATCAGAAGGGATGCTGGAGAATGGGAAGCTGCTCTGGCTAATCTGAAAAAGTTCCACGTTGCTTTTCTGTATCGCTAAGCAGTATCTTACACCTAAAGGGGGGGTGGGGTGTGAGGAGGCATCTTGAAAAAAGGCTCTGTTGGGTTTTGAGTTCTTGGCTGCACCTCCTCCTCGCAGAAGCAGAAAAGGCAGCAGCATTGTGTAATGCTCTGCACTTTTTACTAAATGCAACTGTTCCCCCAACACAAAGGATGGAGCTGCTGCCATCCTGAATTCACATCAGTCTTTGTCTTTTTGAGCTCTGTGCAATGCTGATTCTGTTTTCTTCAGAGCTCTGCTGAAATCACGTACCGAGCGGTCGTTTCATATCCATTAGTGGTGTTTCAGTCCCTCCCCATTTTCTCTCCTCCACTTTCTGCTCCCAGGATGCCATCCTGTACTTTTTGTCCCGTCTTCTCTTGCACTCTACCGCTTGGTGGGATCAGGATGTGTCACTCTGCAGCTTCCCCTCCCCCCGAATTTGGTTGATTGATTGCTCCTCTTGAGAGAAAGACATGATGATGTCACGTTGACAGTAGAAGTCCATTTAAAGGGGTTTGTCACTTTCTTTCTTCAGGTGGCTAGGATAAAGAAGAGGAACAAGGTGATTGTGTGAGAGAAAAAGGCAATTTAGCATCTCCCACTGCCTTTTGTTAATCTAGACCCGCACAACACTGCTGGCTTGGAAAGTTTTGCAAATCGTTGAAGTAGGAGGTGCTATTGAAAAGGTAAAACATTGCACCTCTCTCTTTCCCAATGTGCTTCCCCATGCACTTGTGAAAGCCTTGTCTTGGCAAAAGCATCCAACCCTTGCGAACATTTGGTATTTTGGCAGGGGTATCAGTTAGTCGTAACTGTATTAGCATGTGTGAAACATGCACGTTTACTCCCCCAGAGGAGAGGCGCTGAGACCCCACATAAGATTAGCCACCGAACAGCCACCGAAGGCCAAGAATGACCTTCCTGGTGGCCAACCCACAGCTGTGCCCCAGTGGCAAGGCATCCCTGCTCCCAGGTGTGGGCTCAGGCCGAGGCACCCACATCAGGGACAACGCTTCCCTGTCCTCGCCGCCTCTGCCACCCCCAGGTCGGGGCTGGGCCTGGAGGTGTACTTGTGAGGACAGAGCGGTCTGCTCGCCCCGTGCCGCAGAGAAAGCAGGTCCATGCACCTGTAGTAATCCTCCTGCGTTGGGAGCGGCACGCCGTGCAGAGGGTGATGGGCGTGAAGCCACTGCTGCTGTTCCAGAGCCAGGCGCTGCAGCTCAGCTGACTGTGCGTGCATGGCCTGGAGCTGATGTGCTGCTGACATGGGCGCGGAGAGAGAGCCCGGCAGGTCCCTGTAGGGTGCAGCTGCAGCCAAAGATGAAACAGGGAATAAACAAGTTAACATAACAGCTCCATCCTCACCCATGGCTCCATAGCTCAGTCAAGACTCTACAGCACTTCCTTGCCCATGTGCAGGACTTGCTCATCCCCTGATCAGCCTTCCTACGCCATGCCAGAGCTCTGTTTAATAGACCTCAGTTTGGTACTGTGACCCCTCATGACCACCCTGCCCCTTGGAGCTCTGCTGATGCTCTTTAGAGGAGTCTCTGTGAGCATCCTGTGAGCATCCTTACCAAAAAGCTGGTGGCGCAGCACTTCATTCTCATGTAGAGGGTGAGGCAGGAGAGGGTTGGGGATGGTTCCAGCTGGGTATGGTATCCGGGTGAGGTGTGATCCCGAGGCGAGTGGGTCAATAAGAGGGTGAACAGAGGCTGAGGCTGGGAAGAAAAGATATCACAAGGTAATTGTCCCGTGCTTTGTAAGAGGTGACACAGAGAAAGGTGCAAGGTACAACACAACAGACATGGAGAGGGTCGGTGTGCGTTAGGGATGGGATGATTTCAAGGCTAGACAACGCAGTACCATGTTCTTCTGAGTGTTAGTCTTTTTGCCTCCACTGAATTTCACGTGAACCAGTCTGGCATAGCTCTGTCCCTACACACCTCAGGGAGAAGTACTGTTCCTTAAAGTCGATTCTGCAAGGACCTGTTCTGCAATCACGTCTGTACCCAACATCGTGCCTATCTGCCACCCTGGCTGTCATTCATGTGCATTGGGTGCTTCCATTTCCAGGTCTCATCCAGCACAGACGCTCAGTGCCAGGCACCGAGTACTATCTAAGGCTGAAATGCAAGGTACTATGTACATGAAAATTGCTCTTTCCAGTGTTTTGGACTTACTGCCAGAGTGCTGGCTGGAGGTGCCCGGCTACGGAGTGTGGGGGAATGGACATTCATTTGTACCTGATGCCATCTCCGAGTAGTTGTGGCAGCTTAGAGCGGGTGTCTGTCTGTGACTCTGCCACCAGACCCCACTGACTGCTCACAGTACCTGAGCAGGCACAGCACTTTTTCCTGTTGTATTGTAGTTTGGGCTTTGCTTCCCCGAGATTTTCATCCCTAAACTTCTTTTTACTTTGCTTTCCTGTAGGATGTGAAAATGGAAGGGACCACCACTCAATTCTGAAGGACAGCAGCCTCCAGTTCCTTACAATTAGCCCATCTTTTCTCCCATCCAATCCCACCATCTGCAGCAAGAGCCACAGGAGCAAACTAGAGAACCAACATTTCATTAGTCCTAAGGATACTGTCGAAACTGTTGTTAGCAGGGCTCCCACTCCCTCTGCAGACCACAGTATGAGGGACACAGTCCACAGCACCATCACCCTGGTAGCCAATGGGACCCCAGCACTCATATCGCATCCCCAGAGATCAAGAACTAAAGGACATGGTGCAAACAACTCTGCTTGCCACTAAGCAGCAAACTCATAGATTCCCCGATACTTGCAACAGGTGTCAGTGTCTTTGGTGGGATGGGAGCGAGGGCAAGGCTAAATGACTGTGATGTTGACATTTCTGGCCAAAGAGGTGGATCTGGGGCCTCAAAGTCTAGTCTTGGCAGCTTTTGGGCTTCCCCAGGGTCAGAGGGAGGGAGCGCAAGGAGGGCGCAGTAGGAGGCAGAGCAGGGCTTTGTGCAGGGCACCATCACCATGGGGTCCTTACCTGCATGTATGGCATCCTGCTGGTGGAGATGGAGGTGGGAGTGGATGTGGGAATGCTGATGATGATGAGGTGTCACATTGAGCATCTGCAGCCGGGCCAGAGGGTCATTGCTGAGAGCAGCCACCCGCTCGGCGTGCTGGCGCTCAGCCGCCAAGCGCTCGGCGTACGACATGTCGGGACGAAGGGTCGGGCCAGCTGCCAGCGCCAGCCTCTCCCGCTCCAAGTGGCCCAGCCCTGGGTGGAAGGGAAAAGCGGGATGAAGGCCGGGGGCCGCCCGCCGTGGCGTGGGAACGGATCCATGGCAGCAGCTGGCACGGCGTGGAGCTGCTCCAACTCAGCTGGCTTGACTTCAAAGCCGGGCTTGAGACGTTCACGCAGGTCCCGGTCCCTCAGGTCTCGTTCGCGGGCTTCCCGCTCCCTCAGCTCTCGCTCCCTCGTCGCTGGATCACTGCTGTAGATGGCCGGCACGTTGTACCCCAGCAAGCCTGGGTCAACTGCACCCAGGGGCACGTAGAAAGGGTGGTTGCGGTTGCTGGGGGACATGACGTGGGGCCGTGCGTATTCGCTGAGGGTGCGCAGAGCTGGGGTGTCGGGGCCCAGGTACGGGGGAACAGTCGCTACAGCACTGCCCTGCTCGAAGGAGGGGCGGTGGGGAACCGGCCCGAGGGACGAGCACTCAACCGGCCGGCCCTCCTGGGCCATCTTCTGCAAGAGAGCAGAGAGAGCGGTGTCAGGGTCCCAGCAGGGAGTGGCCGAGGGGGTCCTCAAGCATCCCCCCTGGCTGTGCTGGGGCAGCGGGGTCCCCAGACCTACCACGCTCCTCTCCAGCTCCCGCTCCT